GCTACACTCGCTATAATTATAAGCTAGTTTGGTTAGATGAAAAATGCTATATTTTTTTTCATTATGATCTACAACAGTTTTTAAATTGTCATCACTTTTATTATATTCCTCAGTCACAAAATGCGCAATAATAAATTTAAAATAGTGACCATGTTTTATTTTGTATTAAAAATCATTTAATGTAACAAATATATATAGTAATGTCAGTGACTTAGTAAAATTAGAATTTAGTATCGTGTCCCCAGGTCATGGGGAAATTCAGCCTTCAGTTCAGCATAAATTTTTCTGGTTGGAAAATGTAAAAGTTGCCGAAGCTTCTAGTAAGTCTCAAGTCCTTGTTTTCAAATGAGCATAGATACTGACAGCTTGTAATTAGAAATGTTTGCCCTTGAACTGAGAAGTACAGCTCAACAGTGAGCTGTAGGGTTTCAGGAAAAGCAGTACTAATGTATTGGTACTAGGTATTGAAAAGGCTAATAACCAACTGAGGTTTGTTCACTGGACTTGCGCTCTGAGCATTAATGCTGGAAATGGATTGCACCATGGGATATTGGCTATGGAACAGCTCATGGTGATGTCCCTGTTCATTCTTCCTAGCCACTGTAATGGAAAAATACTAGTGAGTTGTCCTTAAAAAATTAGAATCATTTATGTTATTCTTTATGGCATAATATTATTATAATATTATACCCCAGCATAGTTAGCGTGCTCTGAAAAGATAGACACTGGCGTAAGAGTCAGGAAATCTTGAATTTTCGTTCTTCATCATCTCATTCTCTGTTAGTGCTGCATTAAATTTTACCTCCTCTGTAGAAGGCCTGACCAAGGCCTCTGCATCAAATCCAAATGAAGGCTTAATTTAATGAATAAATATGCAGTGCTTGGAGCCAAAGCAATACCTGCTGCAAATGCTGTGATACAAAGTAAGTGCGGGATTAGGGGAGGATTTGGTTGCTCAGCTACTACGATGGAAACTAATGTGCCTTCCTTTTTCTCACGTTAAGCCTGAAAATACTGAAATTTGCTTTGACTGTAGGTATATTGTTTCTGGAAAAAAGAACAACTTCATATACATGATGAGAAATTAATCTGTGATAAAAGATTTTCTTTTGTTTGCTCCCTTTCAGGTAATTTGGATTTGACTGGTCAAAAGCAAGTCTTCAAAGCAGAGAATAATCCCTGGGTCACCCCTATTGCTGACCAGTTCCAGCTGGGAGTGTCCCATGTTTTTGAATATATTCGTTCAGAAACCTATAAATAGTAAGTATTAAATATTACTGTATTATACCAAACAATTTTTTTTATGGAGTACTTGATTAAGTGCCCACAGTTTGTATACAGCATATACTAATGCAGAAGACACAAATGTCTTTATGGGTATTGGTTGTAGCCATGTTGGTCTGAGGCGGGGGTGGGTAAAATACAGCCTGCAGGCTGGATCTGGCTCGCAGGGCCCCTAAAAATATTTAGAAAATTAATATTTATCTGTCCTAGGTTCCTGTCAAAGATGATAGGAGCCAAGGGCAGTAGGACCCAGGGGAAGCCCTGGAGGGCTCCTGCAACAGCAGGGCCCACCCAGCCCCACCCCCCCCAGCTAGAAGCCACAGCAGGGGCTCTTGGCCTGGAACCATGTGACTGCCCTGGCACAGGAAGCTCAGGTAAAGGGTGGGAGGAAGGGTAGGGGAGGACCCCAGGGAAAAACTGTGCGCAGGGAGAAGTGGCCCCTTGCCCACCCCATGGCCCGCACTCCCTGCTGCAGCCACTTGCAGCCCATGCGGGGCTGTCCTAAGTGGGCACAGGCAGCCCCATGCAGGCTGTGAGCGGCTGCAACGCAAGGAACTGGCCATGGGGTGAGGGAGGGACTGCTTTTCCCTCCCATGCTCAGCACCAGCTTGTAACCCAACCCCACTGCCAGCCTGGGCCCTGCGCCACCTCTGGGCTTGCCCATTGGGGCTGTGCCATGTTGGCAGCAGCTGAGGCCCCCCTACTTGCCTCACTGGGCAGCGTTTGCTGCTGCTGCCCAGCGCGTGAGCTCTGGCAGTGGGGCCGGGTTACAAGCTGGTGCTGAGCACTGGAAAAGCGGGCCCTTGTGCACCCCGTACCTGGCACCCCACGCTGTAGCTACTCGTAGCCTGCATGGGGTTGCCTGTGCCTGCTCAGGACAGACCTGCGTGGGCTGCAAGCGGCTGCTGCAGGGAGTGCAGGCCACAAGGCGGGTGAGGGGCCACCTTTCCCGCATGCTCTGCACCAGCCCCTTCCCTGCTGGTGAGCAGGAGGTCAGGGCTGTATGCTGCCCCCTGCCTGTACCATGGGGCTGGGGAGGCACTAGGAGTTAGCAGGTGCAGGAGCAGGGCCTGCACCCGTGTCCCAGGGCCAACGCCAGCAGAGCCCAGAGCAGGGTGGCAGGAGTACAGGGTCCCAGCTGGCAGGGGTTCTATGGAGCCGGGCCAGCTCCCCCCTCTCTCTGCTGGTACAGGCTAGCCCGGCTCCACAGACCTCTGCCAGCCTGCATCCTGCTCTTGGCCCCACCAGTGCTGGCCCTGAGATATTGGTCCCAAAACATTGGAACATTGGTCGCAAGATGGTGACCAGAGGTCAGGGCACCTGTCAAGGGGCGGGGCTACCCATGCGGCCCTGGACAGCTTGCCACAACTTGGTAAGTGGCCCTCTGCCCGAAATAATTGCCCGCCCCTGGTCTAAGGACATAGGCAGACAAGGTTCTTTGGGTAAATCCAATATCTTTTACTAGACCAATTAAAATAGTTGGAAAAATTCATCTTTGCAAGCTTTTGAGTACAAACACCCTTTTTCAGGTTGAGAAAGCGTCTGCAGTTTTTCTGTGCTCTTCCTAGATGGGATGGGATAGAATAGAATAGAAGCCAGAGGCCAGTATGCAAGAATGTCAGTCAGTGAAAATGGAAGTTGAGGCAGTCAATGGGTGAGAAACAGGTGGGGGAATGTAGATCTGGTGATAACCTTTCTGCTATTTACCAGCTACATCTTATCTGGAGTTTGAGATGTTGGGGAGGTTATAATGTGCCATAAATCCAATGTTTATATTTAGTCCAGTCAGAACTCTTGTGGTAGAGGAGATATCTTTTATTAGATCAACTAAAACATTGCAAAAAAAATTCTGTTCGCAAGCTTTTGTGTTCATACACCCTTCCTTAGGCAAAGGAGAATGCAAAGATTTAAAAATTTCTCCCAGGTAGAAATTAAACTTCATATTGCACAGGAGAACTGGAGGATGGTATAAGTTCTCCTGGGTGGGACAGTTCATTTGTATGCAAATTAGGTTCGAGTAAAAGTTGGAGCAGTTTATTTACATCAGAAGTGTCTGATGGCAAGCAGGATGTTGAATTTTGTTTCTTTCTTGTTAAGTTGTTTCATATTGCACAGTCCATATATTTATATTTATATTTACATATATGTACAGGTTTCCCTTGCTTTATATGGGTTCTGTATCTGCGAATTAACTGTTACGTGATGACCCTTTTATACCAAAAATTTGTTGTATGAGAGGTAAATTCACTCATGCAAACAGTGTCATGGATGCCCACAGTCAGCTGCTTTGTGCGGTGCACTGTGGGAGTGACACACCAAAATATAGTCTCCTGTGTGGAGCTGTGCTCCTTGCTCGTCTGCAAAATATGTTTCTGTAATTGCCATCCCCATTACGATAATGCCTTGTGCTTGTGTGTACTGACTGCTGTTTCTGAGTACCAAAATTGTCTTTAAAAGTGGTAGAAATGGGTCTGGGGGTCAGTACAGTGGAATTCTTGGAACATATCCCTATTTGTTACATTGTAAAGTTGGTTCCCTTTCGAGTTATGCACTGTTTTCCAGGAATGTATGTACAGCATAAAGCAAGGGAAGTGTGTGTGTGTTGCCCCCACAGGTAAATGAGTATTTCTGTCTTTGATAGATTTTCAATGTGCGTTCATTCATGCAGCTGTTGTTTGGTTTCTCCAGTGTGGCCTATCAGGGCATTTAGTGCAGTGGATGAGATGTAGTAGATTTCTGGAGGTGCAAGTATAAGAGCCAGGAATGGTGATGGTTTTTGTTGTGGGGTGTGTCTATTGAGGGGGGTGGTGGAGATAGGTTTTACATTCGTTGTCATGTCACGATCTGGATCCATGATGTGTGTTTTGGGCCATAGAACGTCTGTTTCTGGTGATGAGTTTGGAGAGGTTAGTGATCATCGTGTTTAAAAAGGAAATGTTGGTGCTGGAGTATTCCAAACTATGGGCACAGCTATGAGCACCAAAATGGCCCTACAATATGCCAACCTTTTTATGAGCCACCTGGAAGACTAATTCCTCAAAGACTGCACCGTCAAACCCATGCTATACTTAAGATACATTGATGACATCATCATCATCTGGATGGAAAACCTACAATCTCTGATTGATTTCCATCAGAAATTCAGTAATCATCACCCCTTCATAGACTGTCTCTTGAATACTCCAGCACCAACATTTTCTTTTTAGAAACCATGATCTCTATTCAGCACTGTAAAATACAAACCACCGTATACAAGAACCCATGGACCAACATACATATCTGCACAGAACCAGCAATCGCCCTAAACACACCAAGAAAGTTGTAATATACAGCTTTGATACAAGCTGTATATTACAGGGCTTGTATGTTACTGTATATTACAAACTCTGATACCACTGAATTTGTACTGAGAACACACGTAACAATTGCTCGTAAAAATCCATAAACATTTGCAACCCATACTAGAAGTAGGCCCAGTTCTTAAAGAGATTTTTCCAGAACCACCCATCCCAGCCTTTAAACAAACAGTGAACCTTCTCACAAGACAACCACTCTCTCTCCAGTCTCTCAGTTCCAGTTGTCAAAGCGAATTTACAAAACACCTTTCACAGACAAACCCATGAACTTCACTTCATCAACCTACTGGATACAAAAATCATGGACTAAATATAGACATTATAACCTGCCCAACATCTGTTACCCCAGATAAGCTCTCTACTATTTACCAGCTACATCTTATCACCAGGTCTGCATTCCCTTTGCCCTGTGCCCCTGATCTGTTTCTCACCCATTGACTGCCTGAATTTGCATCACTGATATACTGGCCTCTGGCTTTTGTGTTATTCTATCCCATCCATGAAGAGCACAGAACTGCAGACACTTCCTCAGCTTGAGGAAAGGTGTTTGTACCTGAAAGCTTGGAAAGAAAAATTTTTCCAACTTTTTTAGTTGGTCTAATAAAAGATATCAGATTTACCCAAAGAACTTTGTCTGCAAATGTCTTTATCACATTTAATTAATAAATAATCTGCTTTTAATATCAGTGCATTAAAGAAATGTTTCTTAAGTCACTCCATAAAATTCAAATCAGATGTAACAACGGTTTTTACCACCACTTCAGGATGTCTGCAGTAATTTTGATTTTCGTGAATAGCATGCAGATCTGAGGGTTTCACTTTACATTGCCAAATTTATAGTCAATATTTCCTGAGAAAAGGTTCTCTGGTGGTTATTATATGTTGATTTTAATATTTTAGAGAATAAGCTTAAATGATAAACATCTGCTTAGGCAAGAGTATCTTTATGGGTCGTTGCACTAAGAGATATATTGTTAAAGATTTTTACATGCCTCTTCCTATGTTACCATACTACTATTGTTTAAAAATAAACAGGTAATTACTTCAAGGTTTATAACTCTGACAAGTTTAGCAATAGCCTTTTTAGAAATAGTAAATAATGGAACCAGGAATAACAACCTGGGCATTAAAGTTTCACAGTTTCAGGGAACTAGGGAAACTATATAATGCATATGTTTCATATTTTTCATAAAAGAAAGCACAAATATTTAAAGTTCTCTGACAGTTTCTATCAGCAATCAGCCAAAATTAATGCAGTGAAAAATATATAGAAGTGAGGATTAAGGATAATAGTGACTATATGACTGCCAGGTACAGTTTCTGCATTGAACAAAATTATCCAGTGGTAACTTGGATACAGAAGTAAAGCTGAAAGGGACATCAAGAAATCATCTAGTCCAATCTGAGTTCAAATGTGCCATCTTGGTATCATTAGCACCATACTCTAGCCAACTGAGCTAAACAGCCACACAGGCATGTGTATACTTGTACTGTACTGTCGCACAATTTCAGCTGGATAGGGTCAGAAATGAAAGTATGCTTACAAAATTGTTGTGTCTTGGTATATCCCTGATCTCCATACAATAATATACTGTACAGGCAGTCTTTGGACTTATGACG